TGGTGCAGGAGACCTCTCCTGACCAGCCCGCTGCTCTCCACAGCAGTGTATTTCATCTATCTGCCTATTCTGCTCCCCACTCTGTCTCTGGTGAATCTTCTCACAATCCCTTCACCTCCAGCCTGTACCCCAGTTCTGTATGCATAAATAAATAAATCTTTTTTAAAAAAATGTATTGTAACTTATATACTAATTACACAATTGAAACATCTTGATTTCAAAAAAGAGATTACTGAATATATTTCTCAGTCACAAAGGATCAAATCAAAAGTCTATAATGCATGATTATCTAGCACTGAAATCTACTTTTTCTCTATATTACACAGGTATCTATGCAATACCATGGCACAGCTATAGCTTCTAGTAGACAGCAGACTCTTGGAGACACTAAAACTCTTTAAACATTCAAAACTCACCAAACAATTTTAGATTCTGAACACCTTAAAACTTCCATTGAAACTACTACCAGGAGGCAGTTCTACTAGTGGATGTGTACAATTTTTAATATATAGGGGATAGAGTGAAGAAAGGGTAAATTCCTTCCCAATGAAAATCATATTTGAAAAGTTTAATGCTGTGCAAATATTAGTGCAGACTAAGAAAACAAAACCACTTTTACTCACAGGTGAATAGATAAATTGCTGACCGGTAAGAAGCCTTCCATTATATGTGGATACATGACTTCAGAGTTCACTGGCAGCTAAATGTAATGAATCACAAAATCTACTTTATACATTGATTAGGAAAAAATAAGAAAATCTTCACTCTCAAGACACCTTAACCACAGATTAAGCAAAACATATTCACTTACTATCTTTAAATTAAAAAAAACCTTAACAAGCAATATAGAACTAACACAAAAATAGCTGTCATTGGTATTAATGTGAGGTTCAGAGTAAGTGTGCAATCGTTTTTAAATGATTAGTACCTATTAAATATCAGGAATTGTACTAAGCATTTTACATATATTCTCTTAATTTTTTAACAACCCTGCTGTGTTAACCCTATTTTATAGGGAATGAAACTAAATCTTAATAAGATTTCATAGCAAATAAGAAGCAATCATTGATTTTTTAAACAATATTCAATTTTCTTGATGATATTCTAAAGATACATTTTTAGTACATCTTCAGATAATTTCATGATGATTTTATAACAAAAGATTAAGAAAAATTACCTTTCCTTCTAGAAATTTCTAATTTACTAATAGCTCAATTTTTAATCTCAATGTCTATCTCTAATTTGAGAGACTTCCCTGAGAAGAAAACAGTTATCTCTTATTTTTATTATATTCTGAGGACAAACCTGTAAAACTGAATAGATGCACAGAATTGGTATTTTGTGTCACTTAGCTTTTTTACTATAATTATGATCTTGCTAATGCTAACCAATAAGCCATTATTATGCCTAAAACTTCTTTGCAGTGACATTAGTTTTATACAAGTCCTTGATTTTGTTAAAAGATAAAGTAGGAAACTTGTATCCTGAAACTAGTATGTAATATGAATAGGGAAAATGCAGCAAAGAAATAATTTTGCCTCATCTTAAACCTACCATGTAAAAGTGTTCCAGTCGAATTCCATAGACCATTTGTAAGGCTCTCATGTAGATCATGTGCAAGACTTCAGGCTGCAAAAGAAAATAATTTTTTACTATTCTGAGGCACATATCACTCTATCATCACTGTCCAATTTTGTAGCTGAAGAACGCACAAAAAGGAAATAGTCACAAAAATACTCTTGAAATAGTTCTTAATTTTTCCAAATTTTTAAACAGCTTATGATACTTACCAGTTTGTTCATATGCTATAATGGTCCATAAGATCATTTGCTTAGGATCATATACCACACAAGAGTATATATATCCAAATTCCATCCAAGTAATCCATTCACATTAAGAAATGGAAAAGGATTTATCAGACTTTCAAAACAGGTGTCAGGAAGGTAGCAAAAATAATGGCATTCTGAGGGTGCATATCTTCTAAAAGGCAGTAGGAAACTTGTTTCCTGCTTTAGATGTTAATATTCCCTAGATGTTTATTTCAGTGATCCAGGAGGAATAATTTAATATGGTATTTTTAAAAGTTGTATCTCTTCAGTAAGTTATACCAAACCCTGCCCTGCAGAACCCATTTTGATTCACAAACAAGTTCACTTATTTTGAGATTATTTCTGCCATTATAAAGAACTAAAGGGACAAAGATAAAAAGTTTGAGTTGTACAACATTAAAGCAGATTTTATTATATATGCTTCAAGAGCAAGACAGGAAACTGCACAGAGACTTTGGGATTTTCTATGACACATAAATAGTTCATTTTTACATTTAATAACTAAAGAAATAAAAAAAAAAAAAAAACAAAGCCTGTCAAAACAAGTCATTTTCCCCTAGGGCATAATGCAAGAAAATTAATCTGTAGGCTTCCAAAGAAAATTGTTTCCAAGCACTTTTTGGGGTTGAAAACCACTTGGAATAAGTTCTTTTAAGCCCTACCAATAACTGATACCCTCGGACCACCACTCCATATTAATAAAAAATTTAATATACTTTAATATATCTATGGTTTAAAAAAGTTACATTATTAGTTTAATAAAACAATCACATTAGAGATGAATTCCTAATAGAAATGCTGAAGTTGCCCACATACAAACTTAACGTTATTTTAAAATTACACAAAGTCAGAGATTTTTCTCTGGATTAAAAAGCTGGGTCTACATCAAAAAATACATGCCCTTTTCCCCACACTGTATACCAACTAGCTTACTTTGTTTTCAATACAATCATCTACCTGTAAGCACAACCACATTTTACCTTTGGATTTGGATAAAGATCATTCTTGGAGAGGTTTTTACCATCAGCTCCTGTTAAAATTTTGTTGCGAATATGGACCACAATCTCAGCTACATTATATCTAGGGAAAGACAGGGTTTCCATCTTGGAGACTCCTAACCTGAAAGAAGAAAACAATGGTCAAAAATATGGCACAAATGGTAGAGTTCATTATCTTAAAGCTGACACATCTAAAGAAAAATTCATAAACCAAAGCAAAACAATTCAAATTGGTGCTGACTACTATCAAACATTCTTATAGGGTAACATAAATAGAGATGTCACTACATATCCTAAAACACTGTAGCTTTCTTCTAAAGTAACAAAGTCATTATCAGTGCTATTTATTTTCTATGGAAAAGATGTTTGGTTTAATAAACAGATGAGAAACCATACTTCTTTTTTTTTCAATTGAGGGTGTGGGTGGTTGGTCAACAAGAATAGATCCGGAGAATTAATCATCAAACCAAGATATACAGGTAGCACTATCAATAGCAGTTACATACCAAAAATGGCAAAATAGGATAAATAGTAAAATTACTGATTTGACATCCTATTCAAAGTACACATAGTAAAATCACCAGCAATGTTTGAAAGGCAAATAGAAAGATTGAAAGAAAAAAGAAAAAAAAAAAACTATATAATCAGCAGGAACTCCAACTGCCAGTGAGAACTTTAAAAAAATACTTCACATGTCTTCAAATAGTGAGATACTCCCACCTATGTTACCTATGTTGCTATATTGCTATAGAGCAGAAGTTCTCAAAATTTTGCCCCCCAGGGAACATGTGACAGTGTTTAGGGACATTTTTGGTTGTCAGATCTAGAGTAGGGTGCTACTGGCATCTAGTGGGTAGAGGCCCAGGGTGCTGCTGAACATCCTGTGTAGGACAGCAAAGAAGTGCAATGCACCACAGTAGTGCACTCAACTCTTCTATACTTGCCACAGGCTGTTGTGATTATGTTATAGAATTCTGGCACTATACAGTAAGCACCCAGTAAGCTAAAACCTCTCCACTGCCTTCCTATCTCAAGTTGTACCTAGAGGTAAGTCACTAGTAACAGCAGAATGAGAGCAGCATCAGCAGCCCCACCTGTCACCCAGTTAACAATACCTCCTCTCTGGGGAAGGAGCGTGATCCCCAAGAGGCAATGAAAATATAGTCAATTTTTGCAAATAAACTGAAATGACCCCCAGTTCTGGAAATTTATGTAGGCGCCTAATATTTATTAGACTAATAAGGTTAAAAAGAAGCCTTGCCAACTTGCCTAACCTCTGATAAATTTAGGAAGTAACTCTAAACATAATTAACAAATATGTTCACAGTTGTGCTTGAATACCTGCATAACATCACAGTACTTACCAACTCTCTAGCAACTATTTCCCACTTCCGGATGACTCTAACAACTAGGTATCTCTTCCTCATATTGTAAAGAACTCATAACTTTTTACCTACATGCCCCATTTCTAATCACTGTAATTCCTTAAAATACACTCATCTGTTTACTATTTACATGACACCCCTTTCAAAAACATGAAGAGTAATGATGTCTCTGCCTATCCCTCTCTTTAATTTGAGTCACTTCCTATCGGTCCTTGTTTAAGAACCTCTGCATCCTACTTATTGTCTTCTAAAACAAACTAATTTGTCAATGTCTTCTTAAAATGTAATGTACCACTGAGCACAAGTCTCCAGAAACCATCTGCCTCTGGCAGAGCTATAGTACAGTGGGCAGTGACCTCAGCTGACCTAGGCTACAACTGCAGCACTTACCAACATATATCTCAAAGTGAAACATCCAGAATTTCTTCAGTCCAGCCAGGACTTCTACATATTCTTACAGTTGATTATTTGAAACTTAAGCAAGGTTTTGCTTTTCTTATTACTGACTTCCACAAATCCAAACTTTCACTCTACAGTCAGCATCTTCTTGTCAGCTTCCCCATTTTTTTTCTTTTTAAGATTTATTTATTTATTCATGTAGAACTGGAGTACAGGCCAGAGATGCGGAGGATGAGAGGATTCACCAGAGACAGAGTGGGGTGCAGAACAGGCAGATCGACTAAGTACACTGCTGAGGGGAGCAGTGGGCGGGTCAGGAGAGGTCTGCCACGCCATGTGGAGCTCCTCCGGGGCAGGCGGGAATGAACTCATGTGGAAGTGGCTTAAGCTTCTTAGTGCAGTGCTTTAACCCGCTGCGCCACCAGGGAGGGCCGGCCCCATATTTTAAATGCCTTTTTCAACACAAATATACATTCTATATTTCCATTTAAGTCATAGCTGTCAAAATCACTGATGAAAATACTTGGCCAAAAAAAGAGCCAAAAAACACAGAAAGGCCCACTTTTTCCAAACAAGCTACCAGTTGGAACAGAGTACCATAATAAAGAAATGCAAAGGATAGTCATAATTATCATCACACATACTTGTTTTTAAGTGTGCCTTTATATAGCCCTGACTGCATCATGTAACATCAAATACTTTAACTATCTTTACTCACCAAGTCAAATTAAAAATGTTCTGTCTGGCTTCTAAAACTGCCACAATTTAACAACCCAATAAAGTTTTGTTTCAAGAAAATCTCCCCAAATTTCAAATGTTTCCTATTGGAGTCACTACCCACATCCAAGTACTTTCTTTCTTTGATAAAGTACCAACTTCAGTTCCAATTCATTCACAAGTGTGTGAGGAGAGGAAGGGAGAAGGGACAGGGGTATCAATTAGTACGCAATTCAAGCTCTTTGGTGGGACAAAGTATATAAATCACCTCACAGATGCAAAGTGATCCCTAGGGTCCTACAGCAAGTATCTGAGATTAATACTAATCGCTCCTTTTAATTTCTCATTTTCACGCAACACAACCATGCCAAGCCAAGTAGGTACCCAAGCCCTACCTTATCTTTCTTGCTTTCTTGTCTCTACCGTGCTTTCCCAGGTTTTAATTAGCAGGTGGTTAGTCCCCTTCCAAAAATATTATCTAAATTAAAACATTTTGACACATAACCCTTATTACAGTATATTGCTACAACTGTTTTATTTTGTTATTGCTGTTATTGTATTAGACTCTTACTGAGTCTAATCACAAATTAAGTTACAGGTATGTGTGCATAGGAAAAAAACATAGTGTGTGTGGGGTGCGGGGGGATTTGGTACTCTCCAGGTTTCTGGCATTCACTGGGTGTCTTGGAACATTTCAAAGTATAGCTAAAGAAAGAACTACTATGCTGAAAAAATACTTATTAAATTTTACATACTTCGTTAGCTAAAATAAACCAGCTCGTGGAAATTTACATTTCAGGAAGAAGAGACTAAACAGAAATATGCAGGAATGAGTCCCTAGCTTAATAAATCACGTAAAAAGTCTCCTGAATTCATTCGGGGAAACTGTGTCACAAATGCAAGTACCACACACCACCGCTCTCTTAAGTTTTGCATTAAGTGTGCTATTTCTGCCTTTCAATTATTGGTTTTGGATTTGGTTAAGTGGTGCCTGAGCAATGGAGATCTATAGAAAGCTGAGCGACATCTACATCCGCGTCAACTTCTAAATAAACGAACTAAAGCGTCGTGAACACAAGCTTAAATGATCACGTACGCCCGAGCTGCTTCTCCCAGTCTACGCTGCACCCGACAACACCCATCACTTTGGTAGCGCTTAACGTAGGAACTGAGCTCAGATTGTTTCTGCTGTAAAATAAAAGGACCGACGAGCTCGCCCACACCTGCTCCAAGGAGCGCCCCACGTAAACACTGGAAGGCCCCGCGCCCCCGCGGGGTAATGTAGCGCCCAGTCCTCCCATCTCCATCTTGCGTGTCCGCTTGCACTCACCTATCGCTCCAACCGCCCACTGGAGGGCGGCGAGTTCCAGAAGCAACTGGAGAACTAAAAAAATCAACAGCAACCGTTGTCACTTTTCAAACTTGCCGCCTTCAACAGGAAGCCCGGCTTCGGCGGCCCAGCCCACTTCCTGCGCTCCGGATACCGGTTGGACTCAAAAGGCGCAAGGAGGCGTGGCGGCGCCGAGCTCTAGGCGGAACCTTTGTTCACGGCATTGGCGTCCAGTCGGACCTTGACCTCGAGGAAATGGAGGTGCAGCTGTTTGGAGGTGGATCCTGTAGTTAATCTTTGAGCAGGTTGTTTCCGCTCACACCTTGAACACAGTGGGGGACCGTAGCAAAGAGCAAAAGAGCAGGGGGGGTTTCTAGAAACTTGAGGTAAGCTCGAGATGACCAGGAAGAGGGGACGTGGGGCTCTGCGTGGGTCTGGGTAAGGCAGAGTCCAGAGTAATGGCAATACCGTTACTTTTAGAGCATTTATTGTGAGCTTCCGTTTCTGCGTTCTGTTTGAAGATGTTTTCTCATTTAGGCTCGGTTAAAAGCAGCAAAGAGCTGCGGCGGGGGGTAGGGGAATATATAGATACTGTCAACAGTGCGGGATCTAAATCGGGATTGTTATGCAGATGGTCCGAAGCCGCGTATGGCGGTTTTCAAACTGTATGGAAGCACGGATCCTAACGTGTTCCTACAGTTCATCTGTTAAAATCCTCTCATTTATAAAGGGCCTAAAGTATACAGAAGTGGCAGTGTCTAGAGTGGAACTTAAGTCTGCTGCTTTTAGCTTTTCCTTTCATTCATTCCCCCAGTGGAGCCAGGCACTCCAGGCACTTACCACACTGACCTGTTCACCAAACATGCAGGTCCCCAAAGTAAGTTGCATCTTACAGACACTGGAGCACTTCACACATGATCACAAGTTAGAATATTCCAGCAGAGGACTTAATATGTTGTATGGGGTGTCTGATCTGAATGAAGTGTAATGCACACAATTTACCTGTGACAGATTCTTTTCTCCAGCTTCATCTTACCCCGATTCATTTCTTAAAATAACACTAACATTATATGTGTTTGGAATATTACCCACTAAGTCTACCTATGTTGTTGGAAATGGCAGAATTTATCGTGTTTTTTTTTTTTTTAAACAGCTGAGCCGTATCTATTTGTATCTCTCACATTTTTATCAATCATGGGTTGTTTTCACCTCTTAGGTTTTACTTACAATGAGCTCGGGTCACCTCCTAATTCTTCATAATTCCTCAACCCACATCTCTGCCTTATAACTTTCAGTGATTGCTCACAAACTGTTTTCCTCAACCCCTCTCCCAACCTCACTACCTCCCCTTATTAGGTTACCAGGATAGTCTGAAGGGTGTTTTTCAAGCACTTAAAATACATTCACATGCATCTTTTCATGTCTCTGCTCCTTTTCTAATTTTAATGTGCTGTTCCCATTTTAGATTTCACTTTAGAGGCCCAGTAACATACCTGTAAACACTGAGCACATCTGTGAATGGCAAGATGGGGGTGCTCAGTGGGAGCTTTTCAGCCTGAAATTGCAGCCTTATCTTTAATGCAGGTGGTGTCCCTGGGGTAGCTATTGCTTTTGTAAAATAAACGCATCTCTTAAAATTCTAGCTGTTGTTAGCATCTACCTTATCTTCTTGCCTACCAATTTCTCTCTGTACATTTATCTGTCTCTTTTTTCTCTAAGAAGATGAACTGTATCTCCTCTGCCTTTGCTGTTGCCCAATTCCTGTCTTTCTGTTGGAGCAACGCAGCACCCCAGGGGAAGCCAGCATAGCAACCTGGGTTGGGTGCAAACTGCCCTGCTTCATCCCCTAGTCCCTGGAAGTAGCAGTACAGCATGATTCCCCCCCCCCCAACTCCAACCCTGCCTTCTGAACAGGGGGGAGAAGTGGGCACAGTGCAATATCTGAACTCCACCCTTGATGTCCTAAAGCAAGAGGCCTGCTGGGAAGGGAAAGAGCAGAGGGGCCATTTGGGGGAGCCTTTAAGGTGAAGTGAGGCACTTGGTCTTGCTCTTTATTCATTGGAGAGGCAGCCACCCCTCTGTGTGGCTACTTTTCACACCACAACTGCCCTCTTTGCCTTCCCCTCCCTTCAGTAACATCCCTTTGCCAAACCCTGCCACTTGGTTGTCTCCTGTATCATGATTCTTAAGGACTTCTTTCTCCACCTGTCTTTAGGTAATGTAATTCCATTTCCTATATGTCCTCTTGGGCTTATCAAACACTCATTCTTTTATTAATCTATTTGCCCAATGATCACTGATGAATCGCTGATTTCTTTCTTGAGATTCAGATTTTATTTCCTTACCTTTTAATCCACTTGGGAAAATTCATGGGGGCTTCAAACTGATTTGTCTCTTACATTTCAGCTACTCATCTATCTCACTGTTGCCTTCAGCCTTACCACCCTACAGTCCATCAGTGGTCAATCTCAGTGATCAGTTCAAATGTAAATCTGAACATTTCATTTGTCCATTTCAATTTCTGAAGGTCCTCCCTGCATTCATCACCTCTAAGGTCAACTCCAACTCCAACTCCATAGCCTGGCTTGCTGGTACTGCCATAATCTTGGTATTGTTTGTGTTCTGGTTTCATCTCAATTTCCTGGTTGTGAGATAGCTTATTATACTTTGAGATCTTTCCTTATTCTTGGTGACTCCCCTGACTTTATTGCCTTATTTATCCTTCCTTATTTTTCAGATGTCTTCAGGAAGCCTTTTCAAACTCCACAGTTTGAATCTGTTGACTTTCTTCCAGGCCACCTTGGCATTTATTTATTCATTAAAAAACATTCATCGAGCTCCTTATTTTGTGCCAGACACTGAACTAGACACTGGTACTTAACTGCAAAACAAGCAAATGTGGTAATAACCAATCTAATAATTAACCTTACAGAGCATATATTCTCATAAGGGAGACAAAATTTAAAAAAAAAGTCATTTAATCAAAGTGTCCCCACAATTGAGAGTAGCTAGGAAATGGCTAGATTAAAGGGTGGAAACAAGTGTACCAGACAAAGGTAACAATTCTTATGAATTCCCATATGAGAAGAACACAGTCTAGAAAGATCCTTGACACAGGCCTAGAGGTAAATACGGACCAAATCATGAAAAGCCTTAGTCATGTTAAGGAGTTTGAACTTATTCCAAAGGCTAACAGTAAGTTTGAAGTATTCCAACATTATTAGGTTTGTATTTTAATGACAAATTTGTCAACAGTGAGAAGATAGAATCAAAAAATGGCAAGACCGCAGAGAAGGAAACCAGTTAGGACATCATTGTAGAAATCCAGGAAAAGAAGATGGCAGCCTGTGTGATGATAGTATTGGCAGTGTGGATGGAAAGAGGTTCCAGAGGAATTTAGGATGTGAAAGTGGCCGACTTAATGACTCCTTGAACTGAGAGAAATAAAGGGTAGAGTTCTGTAACAAAGTTTAGTGACTGTAGGATTACCCTGTCTGTTCTCCTATACCCACAGCTTAACGTAAGTCCTTAAGACAATGCATAGACTTGATAAATATCTGTTGGGTTTTCTGCCTTGAGGATCTAGATAAATGGGTGTCTTTCTCAGGTTTAGGTAAACAATGATTGGGTTTTGGACTTGTTGAGTTCAAGACATAGGTGATACATGTGAAAATGTCCAGATATTTGGCAGTTGGAAGAAATCTGAGATGATTGTTTGCATGCCTAAAAGAATAAAAGTTTATATTATATTGAAATGATCTGTTTTCTGTATCTGTACTGCGACATAGGGTTGGTTCTTAATGACTTGATTCCCTTGCACCTAACACTGTCTTTGGCACAAACTGGGTACCCAGACAGCATTGAACTTACCCATCCACTTCTAAACATGATGCTTCTCACAGGAGAGATCAGTTACAGTAGTACCTTCTGAAGAGGATCAGAATGAAAGGGAAATCTTTGGTTCCTATACTTGTTTTCCCCATGTGCTTAATATTTCCTATGAACAATAAAAAGTTAACAAATGAGTGTTTATTTTGTATGAACTGAAAACTATACACCAACTGGTGATTCTGATTGATAAAAGTAGGATATCCTATCTCAGATCTGAGATCACATTAGCATGTTTGATCATATTACATTTTTTATTGATTTATAAATTTTATGGTTGTATTCACTGATGCCATTATTCAGTTATATAAATCTTTAATGACAGTTACTTAAAGATCTTTAAAAAACAGGACTAACCCATGAATATTAGGCTGAAGTGAAACGAACATACAATTTATATAAAGGGTATCAGAAAATATTTTAAGTTATATATAGTAAGTTGTAGATAAAACCTAAAGCAAAGTAGTGCCTCAATTTTATAGTTGTCTCACATTCATCATGAGAGGAAACTCAGTAACATTGTCAACAAGAGAACATCTAATGTACAAAACTAATTTTCACAAGCTTTGGACTATCTTTTGCATGTTAATTTTAGTTGTAAGTGAATAGAAAATACAATGTTTTTATATTTTCTTGAATTAATGTTTTAGAGTAAAATTTTATAGAAGAGGCGGGGGCTGTACAGACTGAAAATGCACTAGTCTTAAAAGCTAGCAGCTCTGTATGCACAACATTCACTGGGTGGCGCTGCTGCATTAAAGTTCACTTTATCTACTTGGAAAGTTTATCTCGTTGCTTTTTACATAAGTAAACACAATTAGATTGATAAAACATTGAACACTGTGTCCTAGATGGAAAAATTAGTTTCTAAATGCATTGGCTTTAAAATACATGTTTAGGGTTTGCCAAGAATACAGCCTTGAATTCAAGGTAGCTTTCTGTTTTTTAATCACCTTTTTAATCATTGTGGACTTGATAACATGCTTCATTCCTCAACTTTATTCATAGTTCTGGAAATGGAACTATATATTTGCAATACTTATTTATATTTTTATATTTTTTATTTATATTATTTATATTTGTAATAGTATCTGTTACAAACTCAAATAAAATTTTCAATTTTGCTAATTTGTAGTGAGCTGTGAATCACACCAAAGAAAACAAGTTGTTA